TTTTTTTTTTTTAACATCGGGAATTGTGGGAAATGGGGAGGGGGAATGGGGCCAAGGGATTTGAACCCTGGTGGCTTGCGTGCAACACGCATGCAGTGGCCAGTCCAGCCACGCACCAGGGTTCGCGGTGGTGGTTGTTAATTTTATTTTTTTAACAAGTTTTCAAAAAACGAACTCAGAATCCACTCATAAAAAAAAGAATGTACCTCAAATTAAAAGGACATTAGTTGACCTATAAAAGGGGATGTGGTGGTTGTTAATTGATGCCAACAAGTCAACAAAATTATATAGGATACTTTAATTAGATAGCCCGTATGACCCATTATTTCCATTGACTTTGCGAGATGAAAGTTCAATTTAACTTTTCTTCTTCCTTTTAAATTGATTTTTTCCTAAACATCAGAAGAAATTGATTTTTTTCTATTAATTAAAGAGATTTATTTTTTTCATAAATAATATACTTATAATGTTATATAATTTTGTAAATTTATAATTTTATAATATTATTATATAATTAGTTTTTAAATAAAAATTTATTTATAAAATTATATATATTTACTCATAGGTAAAATGATAAGGTTTTGTAACTGAATCATCACTGTTATTCTCTAGTATCGATAAGTGTACAATTTGTCCTTAATACTTCCACAAAAGATGCAATGAAGGACATTTTACTAAAAATCAACGTAGATGGATTATTCTTATTTAATTTTATCGAATTTTAAGTGGTTTAGAGTTATTTTATGTGGAGAAAACAGACTTTCCCTATAAAACACAACACAGGCTTCCTCTGTTCATTCCCCCGTGCACGTCTCTGCATTCCCTCTCCTCCCCTGTTTCCATCGAGAGATTATGGCGCTGCTTTCAGATCTTCTCAACCTTAACCTCTCAGAATGCACCAAGAAGATCATAGCTGAGTACATATGGTAAATCCTTTTTCCTGTTAACATATATCCGATTGGTAACTGCATATTAATGAATATTACTCCTTGTGAATTGTGATCCTAGTCTTTCGTCTCTCTACATATCCTCAGTTTGGTTAATGGGAAGAGCACTGCTAGGAACGAGTCGAGTGCGTGTCAACACACCCTCTTATATTATGACAACGTCATTATATTTTTGAAAGAGATACTGGCTACATTAACCGCCGATCGGTAAAGTGCCGCATCAGTCCTATCTTTAAAAAGAAAAATTAGAGTTCCAATCAAAACGAGATGGAGATGATGAAGCTGATTGCAGAAGGAGCTTAAACGAGATGGAGATGATTATGGAAGGGGCAAGAAGAGCTGGGGCTGTGGATCCAGAAACGACGTCGTTTTGGTTGGGACTCCAATTTTTTTTCGAAAGATAGGACTGATGCGCACTTTACCGTTAACCGATAACAGATAACTTAGCAGGAAAAAAAAAAAAAAAAAAAAAAA